GGGATATATCGTATCGTGACCCCTCTGTCATGATACGTATCGTATCGCCAAATTCTTGCCAATACACAGCCCTACTCATCATGCTGCAAACCTCTTTCTGACCCAGTATTTGAATAAAAATATTAACTATAGTAAAAGGTTAGTTAGTTCGTTCGTTCGTTCCAAACACTTTCAAGTTCAATAAAACAGCAGTACATAATAAAACATTTTTTGGGAACCATAACTTCCTGATTAATTTCGTCTTTTGCTGTMAATTTGCACCTTTCCTCATCTCTGTGAGCGTGCACGCGTGTACTTATGATGTGTGTGCGGTGGAGGTTGATGTCAGCTCGGTTCAGGACCAGTAAAAAAAAAAAAAAGAAAAACTCAATTACATAAATCAGTGCACACACTGATTCCATTGTACACGTGAGTGAGCGTATACACATTACGCAGCATATTCCTCCCATAAGTCACCACTACGTTGGTGCAGCTTATTAATGTGAGAAATGCGTCCATGTGCACAGGCGCGTGGCGTTCCTCGTGTGAATGTGRCCTGAGTTAAAGGTGAAAGGTGAGTTTCTGTAAAGACACCAGAAGAATGACACGTCTGTGCAGATGTTGATTTTGAAAGTTTTCCATCTGCATTTCAGAATCGTTATTTTACCATCTCCATCCGTTCGGCCCTGACCTTGACTACGTAGAGGAAGTGCTCTCGGTTTCCTTTTGGACCAAATGAAAATGCATCATTATTATTCTGCAGCCGAGACCACAGGAAAACATGAAACAGCAACGCAGCTATTGACAAATCCATCATGCAATCTGAGTGAACAAACTGTGGATTTCATCATCTGGCTCATCAGCAGCTCCTTCCTATGAATTATTTGTTGGCTTCTTCTTTTTTTTTTTTTTTTTTTTTTTTTTTTTTTGCCTGGCCTCTCCTCTTGATGTGGTAAAAACCCATCAAGAATCTCTAAGCAGGGCCTGTCCCTCCCTGTGTCTCTCAATCAAAATCCGGGGCAAGCAGCTCCTCGCCCCGTCTGCAGGCTGAATTATTTACCGCTCACTGATGTGCTGGTTGACCAGCAGTTTGGCTTGTGAATAATTCATACCCCTCTCTCCTCTTAGTCCAAAGGATTAACACTGAGAATTTATTCACATTTTTTTATTTGTTGTGCTTCTGAATTTGCATAGTACAAAATAGCATTTGAATGTTTATAAAAAGAGGCAGTAAGGGAGAAAAGACAATCCTATTAATAAACTTCACCCTGGACTCCATGATGCTTTTCTAAAAACTCAACTGAATGTGAGACACAAGAGCCGTTTGTTATCACTTGTCACCAGAGGTGAAGGATGTGGAAAAACAACTATTAAACTTAAGAAAAGTACCTGAACATTAACAATCAATGGTCTGTTTKAAAGTTTGGTATTAACCCCGCCTGTTAGTAAAATATCTGAATGGATTTTAATGAAACTTGCAGAAAATAATCAGATGTTTGACAGCTGATGGACTTTAGACCCAGTCCAAGTCATGATGGCCGCCAAAATAACTGATCAAAAAAAACATAAAAGCAGTTATTTCTCAGTCAGTTTCACTGATACTGATCTAAAACAGGAATGGGCAACTTAAACGAAAGAAAAAGCTGCCGTTTCTTGTCGATTCTAGCAGAGGGCCACACAGCACTACACACTTACCCAAATAATAAAACTGCCATTTTAAGAATTTTTTACATGTTGATTAAAGCAACATACAGTGCAGAAAGTGAACATATTTCATGCTCAAATGCATGTGTAACAGTTGTACTCTTGTTTAATATGAACAGAAAACATTCGAAGCAAACAAAAAATAGCGAGCTAAAGCGCAACAATAAAATACAGTTCGACTTCTGCGTGTTTCTGGTTCTGGTTCTAGTTATTTATGTTCTTGCCACTTCAGTAAACCTTTCTTATTTAGCTTTGTGCAACGGGTTGTTGTGGTGACTTATATTAAAATCCTTCATTGCAGACAGCYCCTCTAAGAAGACTAAATACAGGTTTTCATGGAATTTCTGTGAACAGTTAAAATCTTCTTTCAAAAAAATCTATTTTTACTTACTTAGTTGTTTTTTTGAGTTGAAAAAGGGAGAGGGGGTCTAAAATCTGGTATCAACTTCAACACATACTTTAAGTATATTTTGTGTATTTTTGTATAATTATTTTTATTTATTTCATAAAAAACAACCAACAAAGTAAATTATTGAATGAAAAAAGTGCAGAAAGAAGAAAAAAATCATATATTTGCCCCTAATAATCTGCCTTTATTAAGTACAACACATTGTGCAACTTCTTTGCTTTAAACATAGGGCTGGGCGATTTGATCAAAATTTTATATCACGGTATTTTCAACATTTTCACCGGTTTCACTGTATTTGATGGTATTTTTTCTTTTCATCACAGCTCAGCTGATAATAAGATGTACAAACCCTGCTCATACATGTCAACTTGTACGGATTGTCCGTAAGTTATAAGGATTTTACGTCATGTTGCAGGTATACGGGCATATAGAGCAATCTCACGGATTTTTTTCAAGTCTTACGGATTTTTTCAAAACCTGATTTTCAAATTTATCTAACATGTCAGAGCCTGTAGGATGATTAAAAACAATAAACAACATAAGACAGCCATCTTTTAACCTGTTCTGCCGCTAGAAATAAGTTTTTCCTCTCTCCTGTCCTCCTGCTACTCAGCGGGCGCTTTCATGTCCGCAGCCGTCAATTCTAACTCCACTACGAACTACTTCCTGCGGGCTTTTCACAATAGAACCACGTTAAGTCTCCATCAGCATAACGTCTCCATATTAACTAACCGCGTTAAATCTAACTGTGCACGTCACTGAAGAGGTGTTTACTGCATTCAGCGACGGCGAAAACGGGATGTTTTTTTAAACGTCAGTCAATATAAACAGCGGAATCGCCACCCGCGGCTGCGACTAGCTGCTCCAAACATTAGCATGCTAACGCACATAGCGGTGCAGCAAGGAAAAATGTCCCCCAGGAAACAACAGTTCACTGGCGGCCGCGACGAAACATTCCGCTATTTAAACCGGAATGTCCGGTATTGAAAAAATTCATATCACAACAAAAATAAAAACCGGTATTGGTACAAAACAGTATACCGCCCAGCACTACCTTAGCATTAACCGTTGGTTGCTATTCCTTTTTGTCTGTCAGCAAAATATTTCATAAACCACAGGACAGATTTCCATAAATCTCCAACTATTGCTGCATATTAGTCGATTCACTGAAGCAACAGGTTCAAGACAGAAACCCAGAACTCCCTCTCTTCAGAGACACTTTCCAGCTCATCCTGGGGGAACCCCAGAGAAATCCCAGGTCAGTGAGTTCTGAGTCTTCCCTGGGGTCTCCTACCAGCAGGATGTGATCGGAACACCTCCAAAGGGAGGCATCTTAAGAAGATGAACCACCTCATCTGACTCCTTTCYATGAGGAGGAGCGGCGGCTCTACTCCGAGCTCCTCGGCTTATTTCTGAGTCTGAGCCCGGCCAGATCACGAAACCTCACTCTGAAAATGGAACTGGAGCCAAGCAGGGAGGGGGAGCTCGCCTGGTGGTCTAGCCTTGGCTCCAGGAGGAATTACAGGAAGTCACCTCCATGTGGACCCACCGGGGAGGATCGTTATGCTCGGGGGCATTGCACGCCAGGCAGCAGGCAAGGGAGGGTCTCAGGCCGAGTCTGTTCCTGGCAGCACAAGATCTAGGGACGTGGAACGAACCTCAATAAAACTGTCAGGAAGTAATTATTTCCTGAACATCAACAACTGATTAATTGTGGGAATAAACTCAATTCAAGATGGCCACCACAGTTCATCACCCTTAACTTAAACAAAAATGTCTATAAGTCAGAAAATGAACTAAAATTTGACTCGATGGTAGCTGACAGTTATTAATAACACACACTCTGTGCACCAATAATGTTATTTTCAAAGTTTGACCAAAATGACTACAAGTCCATTTCACAACATGTAATAATCTAAATTTAAAACCCTGGAATGAAATATGGTGGTGGGGAAAGTGTTCCTTTAAAAGTCCTAGGCCTTTCATCCAGTTACTTCCTGTCGAGGTGTTTGGACCTCTRCTGGCAGACAAATCCCAAAAGGCAGCATCAAAAATTGTATTAAAGTCCCGCGTTGCTGCGCATCAACACAGCCGTGTGGAGCACGGCGATTGGTTTGTTTTTGTTTGTTTGTTTAACCCAGACTCATTGTGACATCCATTACACCACAAGATAAGGGCAGTAAATAATAACATTCGCAGACAAATCCAGCTAAGCTGCATACCTGCAGATAACTTTATCTGAAGTGTTTGCTTACAGTCTGAGCTGCAGCAGCTTAATCCTTTCTGTGTAATTGGCCAAAAATCGACGGTATTCCAGCTCTGCTATTTAGCAGAACAGAAGGTTTGTCGTTCTGCCTGACTGAGGAATTGCAACACAAAAAGTATTTCAGAGAAAAAAAAAAGATTGTCGTCGAGGAATTTTACGAATGTTTGCTGTTAA